TGTTCAATCATGTTTTTATCAACTTAGAAATATAGCTAAAATTCGATCTACGTTAACTTTTAAGGACACCGAGACCATTTTACACGCCTTCATCTCATCACGCCTGGATTATTGCAACAGCCTTTTCACCTGTTTAACCCAAAAATCTATTGATCGACTCCAGACTGTCCAGAACTCAGCTGCCAGGCTTTTAACCAGAACAAAGAAATATGACCACATTACTCCTATTTTAGCTTCATTACACTGGCTCCCAGTATGTTTTAGAATTGACTTTAAAATTCTATTGATCACTTTTAAAGCTCTTCATGGCCTCTCGCCTTGTTATATTTCTGACCTTTTAGTCCCGTACACACCAGCACGTACCTTGAGATCCTCGGGCAGAGGTCTGCTGTCTGTTCCAGAGTCTCGACTGAAAACTAAAGGGGACCGAGCGTTTTCTGTCAGGGCCCCGAGGCTCTGGAACAGCCTGCCCGAGGAAATCAGGTCGGCTGAGTCGGTGAACTCTTTTAAGTCCCTTCTTAAAACATACTTTTATAGGAGAGCTTTTCCCGATCTTATTTGACTTTATTTTATCCCTTTTATTTTATTGTATTTTACTAATTTTATATTAAATTTTCATGCTCTTATCTTTTTTGTATTATTCTTTACACTTGTTAAAGCACTTTGTAACTTGTTTTTGAAAAGTGCTCTACAAATAAGGATTATTATTATTATTATTTATAAAAGCCATATAGAAAAATTATTCACCTGTGCTTTAACTGTGATGGCCTGTGTTTTAAGACTGTTTATTGTTGACTGCTTAGCTCAGATCGCAAAAGTACAAGGTTAAAGTAAGACGTTTTGTTTGATATACTGTTTTATATTTTAGTGTGTCTCTGCAGTCTCCTGTGAGCTGATCTTTGCTCGACCTCCGGAGACCTATGCTTGTACATGATCATATTTCAGATTAGACGCTGATGTCCAGTAAAGAGGAAGTGAAAGTACGCTCTTGCTGGCTACTCGACCCTTTAGATAAATAAAAACGGTCTCCCTGAAGACTTGTATTTTGAGTGTTGACATGAACTGATTTAATGTATTCTACATTTGGAGTGATGCTTATTTGTGTATGCATTGAAGATTATGTCAGAGAAGAGATGTTCATTTATTTTGTTTGAGAAGTGAGGCCTATTATATTTGGCCTTTATGCATTAAACAGTTAAAGGGTTATTCTAACATGATCTATAGAGACCTGCATGATATATTTTATTACCTTATTTGGAAAATAGTTTGTGAACTGAGGCAAAGGGGTGTTGCAACTACTGAACAGAAGGACCATCTACCCATAAAAGGAAAAGTAATGTAAAAAACAACCTATGCTGTAAGTACCACGGCCATTATTGTGTCACAGTCTGATGCAAAGAACATTGTCGCCTATTGTAAACTCTGTGCAACCGGCAAAAAGCTTTCAACCGCAAACATTTCTACATCTGATTTATTGAAGCATATGCAGAAGCAGAAAGAAACTCCGGCAGCTGCTGTCACTGATGCTTGGACTCATCAGGAGAGAGTGGCTTTAACGTAGCGTTATGCTACTGCTGAATACTGCTCTTATAAACAGGCTACACGTGCAAAAAACAGCTGTGTAAAAGTCGGGATTTACTTGCTTTATTTTTTATTTCAGCCGCTTGTGTTAAGAAACGTTAGGCCTAGGCTATGCTTTGTAAAAAACACACTCCTTGATGCTGTCATGAATATGATATTAGCTAAAAAGTCGGGAGAGACTGCTTTGTTTGGGGGTGAAGGAGAGGTAATGAAAGCAGTGTTTCCCATAATTAGCCTATAAATTAGATAATTATCAACGCTGATTGCCACATATTGATTTTAATTTTTTTTACTATGCGTATTTAAAATCATATTTAATATTTACTATTCTGTCCAAACCCCCCTTTCTGTCAGCTGCACCTTAATTTTACCTAATTTTCCTTCCTCAATTTTTATTTTGAGGAAGTAACAATGACCATGTAGTAACCTATATGTTTAAAGAAGAGGTTCACATTTTTTCAAGTCTTTCCTAAAACAACACTTACAAGTCAAGTTCCTCCCTACATCTCTGAGTTGATACAGTTTCATACTCCCACCCGTAGTCTGAGTCATCAGGTCAGAGGTTGTTAGTGGTTCCCGACACTCATTAAAAAACCAGAGGGGATCGTTCATTCCGAGCAGTGGCACGTGCTTTGCATACCTTTCTGCGGTGTGTGAATTCTGTTGATTCTTTTAAAAAACAAGTGAAGACGCTGCTGTTCAAGCAGACTTTTAGTTAGACGTGGGGTTTTATGGTTTTTTATTTGTATTTAATTTTTGTTATTTTACTTTGTTGTATTGGTATTACATTTTATTGTGAAGCACTTTGTGATTTTTATCTGTGAAAGGTGCTATACAAATAAACTTTACTTACTAAGTGTATATGATGTTTAAGCATATGTTATAGGGAGGGGGTATGAATAACTCAGACTGAAGTCTCATATTAACTTCAAATAAACTTTAGTAGTAACTTTTACGCAGTAGAAGAACTTGAATCTTGTTCCTATTCACTTCCACTAAGGGATATATCAAAGAAGGACTACTAATAATCCTTTAAATGTACATATGGGCATGTGAGGATGTGTTTTAGGAAAAACAGTGAATGTATCCATTAAAGTGATTCATAACTGACTCTGACCATCATGTTTAACAAATTAAAGGACTCATCAGAAACTGACACTACTGACCAATCAAGAAACAAAAGAAAAATGACATAACAAGAGAGAGAGATAGAAATCCAAAGTGAATACTCACAGAGGAAGAAGAAGCAGATCAAGGTGTGACGGACTTTCATGTTGAGGCTCTGATGGTTTACTGCTGCCACTCTGATTTCTTCACTGACAAACCAGGAACTTCTTACTTTTCTAAATGAGGGAGTCCCTCCTCCAAACCACACACAGCTCTACTATCCTCCCGCCTCCATCATCTATATTTCTACTGCAGGGTCTGAGGTAACTACCCTGCAACTGTCATTGTGACCTCATTGTAAGTGAATTCATTGGCACATTTTTCTGATGAACCTGCATGTTCTTCAGGATTTCTATACAGTCCAAGATTATACATTTTACTGGGTATTGTGTGCATTATTGAGTTCCACAATCTTTTTTACTTAGCCCCAGCATCACCTATTACTATCATGGGATTTAAATTTAAAACTTGTTGGGTATTATTCCATTTATGCAAAGGCCATCTGACAACAAAATGCCTTATGTAATCAAATTAAAAATACCAGTTGCTAATTTACATATAGAACTATTATTAATCCGGCTTTTCTGTTTTAAATAGCACACACAACAATAATAATAATAATAATAATGATGCTGATAATAATAATAATAATAATACCTTGATTTGTATAAGGTTTACACTTAAGATAATTTTGACTGCTTCTTGGTGGGAGAGTGTTATCCACCTGAATACATTAGTATATGACTGAGTTGCAGTGCTCAGTGAGACACAAACAGTATCATGTGTGCTGTGTGTGTCCGGGTGTAGAGAAGGTTTGGTTCTGATCCCTGCCGTCTGGATCGAGGCTCTCGTAGGTGCATTCACACGTAGAAACTGCAGGACAGTTCTTATAGAGGGCAAGTTACAAACAAAAAAACCAAACATTTGGACAGAGAATGAAAGCACAGCTAAAATACCTTGGCGGAATAATGAGTAATCAGCCATGGCAGCTAACCAACCGACAACGCCATCTCAGGAGCTACACTCCTAGACGTCTAATGATCTAGTGAATGAACTAGTATTAGCACACTGTGGCCTGTAGGTTCACAAAACTTGCAAACAGCAGGAAACTACTGCTGTGTATTTCTAAAATTTTATTGGCTCACCCCTGAAATGCAACTCCTTCCACTTCCCCACCTTCATCATGTGTTAGCATTGTAGTTGTTTGTGAATTTGTTTTTTCTTTATTTTCATTATTTTATTTAGGGGTTGTACCAGAATATGTTAAGATGCTTTAAATTTGATAAAACACCATATTTTTTGTGCACATTGCTGCAGCCCCTCTTATTACCCTGTGTTGACTGCTCTGTTTTAGCTACAGAGTGATGCCTGTCACTTCTAAATGATCTTGGCTTTTTCAACACGTTGTGTTTACAAACTTGTCGCAGCTGATTGGGTAACACTGAGAGACGCCCACCAAGCGGAGAAAACAAACCTAGAAGCCCATAGCAGAACGTTGCGCAACGTTGCAAGGAAACATGTCGTTCAATCGAAAATGTTGCAAACTCGCCTCTGGTTAAGGACTACTAGCCAATCAGAAGCAGAGTAGGGCGGCTCTTGACAAGCCGGTAAACCGGCTCCACTTCAGGCCCTGTTCAGTCAACTCAGAGTATGAACCTGATGGAAGCGCGTGCGTAGAGATGAAGAAAAGCCATCATGAATGGAGCTCTGATGCTACACTCACCATGGCAACAGGTAAAAAGGTATTAAAGGCAGAGCCTCCGTTTTAATTTTAAGCCATAAATATGAATGCGTGCCAATGCAAACCATGATAGGCTATTAATGTTAAAACACAGGAGTGGAGGAAATATCAATATATTAACAAAAATACATTTTATACAGTGTTGCTCATTCATCCTCCCAGACTGGGTTTCAATAATGAATGATAAAGTGCTGGAATTCTCCTACAGCCCATTACATTCATTTAATATATTTATTCAGCTGTAGCCTGATGGGACAAAATGCCGGTGGCGATAAATGAAGATGAAAATATTAATCGAACAAATTAGACATAGTTTAGGCAGATTGTAACAGTGACAGTCCGACTCAGTAGGTTAGCCTATTAATGATTTTTTTAGCAGTGGAAAATGTGTCTAGGTTCAAACTGACTGTGAAGTTTTAGACGTCTACTTTACATTGATAAAATCTTGCTCATTTTGTATTAAATGAAATGCTGTCAAAACACATTCAGACTACCAGCAGATAAAAAAAACTCACTTTTAAACGACATTTATTTGTTTCAGCTGCACAACAGTCATCCTCACTCACAGATATTCACATTAGCCACATTATCTCCAACTTGTTAACTACAATAGGAATGTTCCAGTGAGTGCGACTAAAATATGAAATATATCCCCGAAAGTGGAACTATCAAAAAAACAGATGACCTTGGGCTGTTTGAAATGTTAAAGGCAATTTTCACTATTTTCTGACATTTTATTTAATCTATAACCATAATAACTGCAGTCTTAAAACCAAACGTAAGAAAAAAAGGTGTGACATTGTTTAAGTGAAAGTGAATAGTTGGGTAAGTTCGTGTCCTTCATTTTCCTTCCTCAATTTTTTTTTATGGAAGTAACTTGTAATGAATATTTTAAAGGATAAGTTTGCATTTTTTCAAGTCTGTCCTACAAGTTTTTGTACATTGAACAATTTTTTTTCTCTGTAGTGTTTTTTTTCTGTCTATACTGGCTTTATTAAAGAGATAGAAGAAGAAGATACTTTTATTGTCACATACACATTGCGAAATTCGTTCTCTGCACTTTAACCCATCCCTCAAGGGAGCAGTGAGCAGCCGCTCGATTCTCCATTATCTTTATGTCTGCTGCAGGGTCTGAGGTTAGAGGCACATTTTTGAATGACTCATTTTTACCAGTATGGTCTCCAGTATGTCACAGTCCAAAATAATACATTATACATGCATTAATGACAAACTTCCTTGCTCTTCTTATTCAATATAAAAAGATGAACTAAAAATCAAAGTAAAAAAATCAATCACAGGCTGATCCAACTTTATGACTTTCATCAACTCATAATGTCTCAGTAGTGTGAATGGCACGCCCATCAATCTCTGAGCATGCTCCTGATGAGATGGCAGGTGGTGTCCTGGTGTCCTGGTCTCCTCCCAGACCTGGATCAGTGCATCAGTGAGTACCCTGCTAGGGTAGCTATTAAACTGCTGTTAAACTTACAGATCTGGGCAGGACAGATTGGACAAAAATTCCACAAATGCGTAAAAAGGAAGTCACAAATGTAACGTGACCCGCAAATTGACTGGAAGAGATCCACCAATGTGTGAAAACTGTTTTGTGTGTGAAAATGGATCCACAAATGTTGAAATAACACTTTGTATGTGAAATAAAAAGATGTATGTACAGATAAAATTGTGCGCATTTGCAAATCACAACACAAATATGTTATAATATGTTATAATAATGTGAAGCTAAGTAACAGAGTAAACAGGTTGATCATCAGTATCGGAGCTCGTCTCTACCCGTGGAACAGAGTAGACAACATTATTGTCGTCACCACGGAGGGCTCTGGTGGACGAGCCAACGGTCCTTTTGGAAAAAATCACCTCAGAATAGGTGAGTTTACCCAAGTAGTCTTCAGCCTAGAAAAAGAAAACAAAGCATTTAAAGACTGTTCTTGTAATAATCTTATACCCAAAGTCCATCAGATGTAGCTGTGCTACTCTGTCTGCGTTGCTGCTCTAATAGTAACAGAATCTGTTGTTTTGCCAACATTTTTTGTGTTTTATAAAAAGATAACAAAAACATTTGCAGTTTGCTGAGATGCTTTGTCAGTGTTCTTTATTCAGTTTAATTAATGTTCTACCACACACTGTATCTGTATTTCCTGCATTAGTGGTCCTGGGTGACACTTTAAAAAGCCCTGCTCTGGTCATTTAGATGTCATGTAAACATAATGAAAATAATATAACCAGTACTGTGTGTAACAGATTTCTAACATTTCGTGTACGTGACTGGCTAACAATGCTTAATAGGTTTTAAAGAGCACCCATTTACACATACAGTAAAATCAACGGCTCTTAATCTGAATATATTGTAGAGTCTGTGTGCTGTCTGTCTATGTTTTTTGTCCGCTGTTACTGTCATCATTTACTGCATATTAATATATTACAAACCCAAAGTATATTAGTGTGTCACTATTTTCTTCCTACCACGAATTTTGACTGAATGTCCCAAATTGAGTAACCTCTACACAGGTCGGTCAGCCCATCTCCGGACCAGGCCGGCCACTGCCAACTGGGCAAATGCTTATCATTATTATTATTATTGTTTAGGGCTGGGCAACTTATCACGTTAACACACAAAATCATTATTATTTTGAAAGCTCTGAATACACATACAGTCAAACGATGGGTCACAGGAGGGGCAGGATGTTGATCAGCCTGCAAATCAGCCAAACCAGCAGTAGAGGAAGGCTTTCGCAGACTACGCAGGATGCAGCGTGTGGGAGAAGCAAGATAGCACTCTGTGAGTAAACGGCAGGTGCTTTATGGATAGTAACCATTACAACGGCTTCTGTGCACTACACAGCTGTAGCCTATTTAACTTAAGTTATAATTATAGGCTACATAACTTCACCTGATAGACCTACATCTAGTTTTGCGGGGATGCTCAGCCATGTGAATTCCCTCCTCTTGATGTCCTATTTAGTAAACAGTAATAGTTTCTGGAATCTCACTGCGCCTCAGGTACAAAAAGTTCAAGTCAATTCAACTTCGGCAGCGGTCTGGTGTGTGCGTGAGGCGAGCACAACGTGCCCGCTTGTCGCTACACCTTGTTCTCAACCACTTCACCTTACATAGACCGTTTCTGCTGCTGCCTGATAAAATGAAAATGTTTCTGCTGATGTTAAGACCTGTTCAGAAACCCCCCCTAAAAAACTGGACTCTGATGGTAACTTGTTTTAACAAACTAGATAAAGGTAATTCCCTGGCAGTGGCAAATAGCTTTGGTTTGATTTGATGACATTAATGTTTAAGTTGAGATTTTCAAGAAACATTTTACTGCTACTGTGTAAAGGGTTTATTTGTTTAAAGTGTTTGCAAACCACATGTTATTGCAGTTTTGTGTATATAGCAGTACATTTAAATTAAAAGTGCATAATACACAACTTTAGAATTCATTATTCAATTTTGCGTATACCAATGCGATTAATTGCCCACCACTATTATTATTATTATTATCACCATCATTAATATTATAACCATTACCTTGTCAGCCTGGAAAAACTATTTATTTATATATATTGAGTGTTTCCCACAAAATGACAAAAGCGCATATTTTATATATATATATATATCTCATATAGTTAAAACTTGAGATTGAGTTTTTTTGTTTTTGTTTTTGAATGATTCTTAGTGTCTGTCTGTCTGATGTTGAATGCATTTCCTTTCTCATGAAGCATTTGCAAGCGTTGTTTACATCCACATGTACCCTACTGGCCAGCAGTCTTTTTCATTCTGTCTTTGCACATTGCTACAGTTCCTGGCAGGTTACCACCTCCACCTGTCAGTGTTGTATTGAAGTACATTCATAAATGTGTCTTTAACATCTTTAATTGTCTTATTTTTAGATATTCGAGGGAACCTGCAGTGACAACTTGTGGCGGTTATGTAAAATCAAACTATTACCATGTTTTTTATAGGATGCAGCCTAACGCTGCTGTTTTCTGAGCCCAAAGCTAAAATCCTATAACTTTTTCCTTACTGTATTTTGAAATCTGGATTCAGAGACAGAGCTGTAGTCATCAGTGGATTCGGGAGTTTTTTGTTTGGTATATTTGGCGAGAGGGTAAACTGAAGAGATTTCCACAGGAGCAGATCTGCTGTGTCTGTCCTCTCTGATGTTCTCGTACACTTGGTTGGTCTACAGGAGGAGAAGGTTTGATTTGAATTAATAAGAGCTAGTTTCACAAAAAAATAATGAAACTCAGATGTTCATCAAACTCACCTCTGTGACAGAAGTGTACTCTGTTTCCACTGGAGCTTCTGAAAAACAGTTTATTCATAAAACGAAAGTTCACTACACTGATGAAACATCTGTCTTAATAAAATGGAAACAAATACGGATTCTGTAAATGCTCCGTACTTGTATAGCGCCTTTCTAGTCTTTTCAACCACTCAAAGCGCTTTTACACTACATCTGCATTCACCAGTCATACACATTCATACACTGAGCCTAAGTGCTCAAACAGAATCTAAAATTCACACTCATTCATACACTGGCGGAATAGCCGCCAGGGGCAAATCGGGGTTCAGTATCTTGCCCAAGGACACTTCGACACGCAACCAGGGGCAGCCAGGGATTGAACCACCGACCTTCCGATTAACGGCCAACCCGCTCTAACTCCTGAGCCACAGCCTGGATTCTGTTTTACCACAAAAATGAAAACATCCCCAATGACTGGTTCAAACATAATTTCAGCCAATCATTAAAGAGATGTCCCATCCCTCGAAGTATTTAGACTTTCTAACAAACCAAATTTGAGGACACTACCATTGTAGCTAACTACGTTTTTCTGTATCGGCAACACTAACATGTCGTAAGCAACCTGATTTGTCGTCAGGTGTGGTACGGGATGAAGTGTTTGTTTTAATTGTTTGCAGAGCTCAATGTGATACAGTATATGCAATGATAGTTGGTGTTGTTACAAGGCACAATGACACCCAAGCTAGCACCTGTTGCCCTCTGTGATAGCAACAAGTTAAAGCTTCTTGGTTTTTGAAAATTTTTACAATCTTTATAATTGTCATTATTCTGCTTGTTTTTTAGTCAGTTCTCCTAAGTTTAGATGTTGTTAGTTGTTTCTGCAATTTTCAATCTGACTCCTGGCATTTACTTCTGTGCACCTAAAATCTCACGGTGTGAGAAAATAAACTTACAAAAGTAAATTTACATGGAAAGAGACAAAGTTGCCTGCAGTGGTTGCCTGCCGGGCTGTGTGTGTTTCCTGTTGCCTCACCCTTGGGTTTAGAAGACCTCTTCCTGCAGTATATCACCACAGCCAGTAATAATAGGATAACCATTACGGCCAGAGTCAGACCGACAGGCAGCCACACATCTGTAATAGATTGAGGAGAAGAACAAGTTTACACATTGACACACACACCTCAGGGTCAAGTACTGAGCTCTAAAATGATATGAGGTCCCTGAAGGCATGCATACATAGACATATTTAATTTCGTATACATTAGCATACACATACTAATGTCCTACATACATAAACACCTATATGGTAATATGATGCAATGTACAGTTTGAATGGGAGTTTCTATTTGAGTTGGCAGGCTGGTATCATCAAAAGGTGTATGAATAATACAATGATTTCGAAGTGTAAGTGGTATTCCAACACATTTTTTTGCCATTTAGACTGTATTGACTTCTATTGTGCAGAAACAGAGTGACATATTACACCCACTGCCACAGATAAAATCAGCGTATGTGGTATATAAATAGCCATTAGAGTCTGACACTAAGGTGGTGGAGGGGTGGTCAGGTGGATAGTAAGTTGGTCCCAGACCCAGGAGGCCGGTGTTTACACAACATTAGATTTACATTACGTTCCGTTACGTAAGTTAGCGTTCCATGATATCACGTTGGAGTTGGACGTACTTTACTTTACAATGTCTATAGAAAATACTAATTTCTGATTGGCTTGCAGGCGTCAAATAAAATCATACAACAGCACACCTCAAGCATAGTTCCTACACTAATTTAGCCACTGTTCTAAATTAGTACTTAAGATATATCTACATGCATGCAACCAAAGCAACAGTATTTTCTGAAGATACTACATGCTAACAGTTATGCTAACTCTCACTGGCAGAAAATACTGAACCACAGACAAACTTTAAAGGAATAGTTTGACTATTTGGGAAAAAAATATTCTATTTGGACTTTTTTGGTATCTTGTTGTAAGTTAGATGAAAAGTTTGATACCAGTCTGATGTAGGGTGACCAGACGTCCCGAAAAATCCCGGACAGTCCCGAATTACAAGCCGTTGTCCCGACTCCTATCCGGTTTGTCCCCGAAAATTAGACCTAACATGAGTTTTGATTATTATTCATTATATACTGATTGTTGTGTGGTTCTCTTGCTCCAGCAGGGGTTGCAGGTTATCTATACATTGTGTCAACAGCGTTGTTATAGCAACAAAGTAAAACTTGTCGTACTCTTCTCCCCTCTTTGTTTTCTTGTGGTTAGTGGAAGTTACAGCCGCGAGGACAGGGAAAGTGTAGCTTCAGGCAGCCATGGCGGAGACAGCTGACAAGAGCGTTGCACAGACAGATGTGACACCGCACTGATGAAATGAATAAAATAAAAATCAGGTAAAAGATCATGATTTTCCCACTGTTACATACTATTTTATTACATTTAGCTGACGCTTTTGTCCCAAGCGACTTTCAATTGCTATATATGTCGGAGGTCGCACGCCTCTGGAGCAACTAGGGGTAAAGTGTCAGGGGCACATTGGTGGATGAGTCACAGCTGGGAACTGAACCCCAGTCTCTCACATCAAAGGTATGTGTCTTTTCCACTGCACCATCACCACCCCCATACCCTCAGCTGTTGTGTTTTTCCTATTGACAGACAAATGACTGCATGCACAAACAAAAATAATTATTTTTAGCTGTGTTTTGATTTTCACGTGTGTTAATGCTCATTGACACTGATTGTACCGGTACCCGAATTTCACATTCTCATCTGGTCACCCTAGTCTGATGTCTGTATGGAAGTGTTAAATTTGAAAGTACAGTTAGCAGCCAGTTAGTTTTAAGCATAATAACTGAAAGTAGGAGAAAACAGCTAGCCTGATTTTGTCCAAAGGTATCACAATCCACCTACCTACATATCTAAAGCTTACTATGTATTTACATATCTCAAATGTTAAATCTGTACATGAAATGAATGTGGAAGCTAGGCTAACCTGCAGCTAGCTGTTGCTTCATATTTAGCAAACAGATATGGTATCTATCTCTCATCTGACTTCTGGCAAAAAAGTGGATCTGATTCCAAATATGTCATACTTTTCCTTTGAAGTGGCTACATGTAGTCTCTTTTAAGGAAACAAATCACTTTTTTATTGCCTGAAGGGGTTATAATCTCACATAAAAACTATCCACTTGCTGTGTTTTTCTGTTAACTCTGATGGCCAATGTGCCTAATCCTATGTGAAGTGTTTGTTTTGTTAAGTATGCCGAGTGTATGCACTGAATTAAGACACCGAGAGCGGGCACATGCTTTGCAGGAACCTTTTTACTTCGAACCTTCGTGTCACCTTCTAAAACGTCTGTGTGTCACCGTGAGACTTTAGTTCCCTTTACAGAACACCTCCCCTCTTAAGTAAGAAGCAGGAGGGGTGATGAATGTAGTGAGGAGCTGGCTCTCCTCCGACAATGGGATCTGCCAGAAACCGGAGGTTGTGTCCAGCTTCGTGAAAACTTTTTCCCCGGCCAGCATGGCTAGTGTGTGGTCTACTGGTGGGAGAATGTGTCTCTCTCTCCAGGTCCACGCACAGCCGAATCTTTCCTGGCTGAGCCTTTGGCGCGACAACCATGCCTGCGCACCAGGGTGTGGGCTGGGTCACCTTTGAAATCACTCCCATGTCCTCCATACGCTTCAGCTCCGCCTTCACCTTGTCTCGCAGTGGTAGAGGCAGGCGGCGTGGGGATGACAGAGCATACGGGACAGCACCTGGCTCCAGTTCTATTTTGTAGGGCTCCTTTAATTTTCCCAATCCAGAAAACACTGTAGGGTACTGAGTCTTAAAATCCTCTTGCCGGGCTTGTACAGTGTGGACACGCCTTATTAGCTTGAGTGCTTATATAGCAGGAAGGCCCAGTAGCGCCTTAGTCAAACCTTCAACAACATAAATGTCTTGTTCTGTTGTTACCTTTTCGTGACTCAGTTCACCTTTAAAGCGTCCTTTTACTTCCAGTCTGTAGTGTCCGGGTCCATACAGCACTTTGAGTGGCGGTTGCAGTGTCCCATGCTTTTTAATGGAGTAGCTGCTGCTTGGAATTGCTGTAACACTTGCTCCAGTATCCAGTTTGAAAACAGTTGCTTCTCCATTTAACTACACTATCCACTCGTCCTCTCCTTCCGAGCCCACTTCTCCAAGGAAAGCAAAATCCTCCCACCTGTCGATCTGCATTTCTTTGCAAAGTGTCCCTTTTTGTGACAACTCCTGCACTCTGCATCACGGGTGGGGCAGTCCTTCCGCAGATGTTTCCTTGACAGTCCGCACCTGCTGCATTCAGGTGTCTTTGTATCGGGTTTATCTTTGGCCGCTTTGCGCCATTTCGTGTGTTTTTGCTGTATCGCTTCAACCTATCCGGTCGCTTGCTTTGTCCCTCGCAACACTGGCTGCTTTTTTTTCCACTGCTGCACTCTGTCTCACTCTTGTCACGGCTTGAAGGCGTTCACTTGAAACTCTGACGATTGTTTATCCAATCCTGATGCTATTCTGTAGCGTTCGAAGCACTTAATCCATCTCGGCCATTCGCTAGCATTGGAGAAGCTGAACGTGCCTGGCGGCGCTAGCTGTGGAGCTAACTGTTGCGCCATTGTTTCTCCATCCATCTTCCTAACTTTTCCGGGACGTTGTTTTGCTTAACAGGTTTAGTTCGTCTTTCTACTGTCTTCCACCTCTCCGTTTTTCTTCTGACACCATGTTTTGTTAAGTATGCCGAGTGTATGCACTGAATAAAGACACCGAGAGCGGGCACATGCTTTGCAGGAACCTTTTTACTTCGAACCTTCGTGTCACCTTCTAAAACTTCCGTGTGAGACTTTAGTTCCCTTTATAGAAGAGTGTTAGCTAACGTTAGCATGGATCTGTAACGTTAAATTTAGATATATTGCCTTTTAACTGATATTCAGATACACCGCTTCTTCATCCGCCTTTCTGTTTCTGTTTAATGGAGCGAAATCTTGTAATAATTTAAACAACTGTATGTTTGTCCACATGTAGCACCTTATGACCAAAGCAAATTCCTCTAAGCTCTCTGACAAGCACTTTAATAAACTCATGTACTTGCATAAAAACATGCAGATCTGTTGTAGGCCTACATACACACATTAACACACACATATGCAGAGATAATGCACTAATTCTGATTACACAGCTTTGACTGGGATCTTCTCCATAGTCACTGGCTGAGAGGCTTTGCTATGTGCTGGAAGGACAATTACATGTCCTGGCTATCAGTCACAGTCTATCAAACACTCTGTGGATGTACCTCGAAGTGGTGCTGTCTCAATCTGATGCAGGTCAGTCTGAGAAATCTGTGTTGTTGGTATGGAGGCTGATGGGTCTGATGTTGAAAAAAATGGTAAAGTCAATTTTGGTTTAAAGTAGTTGGACCTGTGAACAATAAAAACAAGACGAAATCCTGATGATAGAAATGAGCGTACAGGCTGTGGCTGTGTGTCAGCTGAACTGTTTTAAATGAACATTTATCACAGTGATGAGGATTCATCAAGATCAGCAGCTGTCAGTGAAAACTTTCTTCAGACCTCCAGAGACATGAGCAAACGTTTCCAAGTTGAAACTCACCATCTGTGACAATAATCTCAAACTCCCAGTAGGAATCTGGTGATAAATGTCTGTCCAGACCACACCTGTACCGTCCTGAGTCAGACTCTGTCAGCTGTGTGATGCTCACATACACAGATACATCTGTCAGAGATCGTTGTGTATATCTGATGCTGTATCTGCCTCTCTCAGCTGTGTAACCAGTTGTTTCAACAAGAATGTCTTTCTCTTTACATTCTTCCTTGCAGAAATACCTCCTCCTTCCAGAGACAGTAAAGGAGCATCCAACTACAATATTTCCTCCAGCTCTTGTATAGAGGGATTTGTCTTCAGGAGGACTTCCATCCAGCAGTGCTGTTGAAAAGATGAACAATCAATAGTTACTATCTGTACTTAACATGATGCAGTCTGATCACAATAATCACAGTTTCAAATGTGATCCACAGTTACACTGGGAGCTGCCCAGTTCTACCAGTCTGTGACTGATTTGGATTCTTCCAGCAAAGATTCAGAGCATCATAATCTCAGCCTCTGCACACAATATGATCATTGATCAAAGTTAAATATAAAGATTGTGTGTAACCACACCTGTTAAAGAAAACAGTCTCTTCAGAGTCACAAAGTTTGAGAAAGTATGAAAACTATTGTTCAACCCACAAAAAATGATGAATGATGAATGATGAGCTTCTGCTCCTGATGTTAAATTCTTAATCACAAATATATCACTTGAAATAATAAGTATCTATGTGTACATTGAAGCTTTTATTCAGACAGGAAAGAAAATTTTTCATGACTTTTAGTAGAAACTCACCATCTACAACAATGATTTCAAACTTGATGTTTGATCCACCCAGACCACACTTGTACTGTCCTGAGTCAGACTTGGTCAGCTGTGTGATGCTCACAAAAACATATTTAAAATATAAAGAATATCCTCCTTCATATCTGATGCTGTATCTGCCTCTCTGATCTCTGACATCAGTTGTGTGAATGAGGATGTCCTCTGGTTTACATTCTCTCTTGCAAAAGAACATCGAGCTTCCAGGTGAAGAAAAGGAGCATGTAACTCTGATATCTCCTCCTTCAGTTCCTGTATAGACAGATGGGATCTGGGCATTGGTGAGACCAGTGTTTCCATCCTGCAGAGCTGTTGAAAAGATGAACAACAATAGTTACTGTCTGAACTTCCTGTAAGATGCTGCAGTCTGATCACAACATTTGCGGCTTCATATTTACCGTAAAACTTCAATTAACAGCCGAGTCCCAAATAGCCGTTTATCCCGTTTACTGGCCTCATGTGGATAAACATTTTGATAAATAAACGCAGTTCCCTGGTCTGGTTTTTATAGTTATAGTTCTTTGGATGTAAAATCTCTTAAACCCTGTGGGGTCGCCCGTTTTAGCTGCTTATAAGCTGCTTAGATCATTAATACAAATATTAATGTTTAAACGTATGATAAATATGTCAATATGAACATGCTACACATTGTTACATCGGTAGTTACGTACTGTAACTCCAGATTCTATGAGTATAGGCGCAGCCCTCTAAGGCTATTGCTATTGGGTCTTTCCCCTATGCACGCCTGCGCAGCACTCACATAAGTTGTCCACGCCCACCCACAGCGCGGGCCTCGTCCTCGTGTGCACCTTGTATACATACAACAGTGAGACCTGGCCATTGACTCCCATAGTGCCTTTTCTTCAGCACTGAGAACCAAGGCCCAGTGAGGCCCACTGCTTAGAGGGCTGCACCTATACTTGGAGTTACAATACGTAACTACTGTTCTATTTCACCCTCTATGGCTATCGCTAGGGGGTTAGAGGCGAAGCAGGATGACACAAACCCACTAGCCAAGAGCCATATAATGACTCACCCGCTGTCCATGACATTGTAGTCGGTGTGCACACAAGCACCAATGGCTAAACATGGGTTTACCCATGTGTAATAGGCAGGGAACCGGAAGGGGGGCCCCGCAGCTATACAAATGCAGGTTTGGCCATGACAGGCGTGGCTATGACTAAGCTGCCTGGAGGCGTTGCCATGATGGCGGCCGAGTGGCATGACTTGCTTAAAAGGACTTTGATGTTACTGTTGATATTTGTGTCATTTTAGCCATCATCTTTTATACTTCCCTGCATAGATAAAGGTTTCAATCACTCAAATTAAAACTTGTAAATTATAAAAAGTAGCTGAGTTCTTTTAGCTGTGCAACTGTTGTGGATATCTTTTGTTATTTTCTCTCTTCTACTTTCTTTGTTCCTTTTTCTCTTTTCATACAACAGTGAGTCATAATAAAAGGATAACTCTTTGCGCAATCTATCTTCTGTTACACTCTTTCTTCCCATTTATCCGAACACTGAACTGACTGAGTGTATTTACATCAGAGCTTTAGCAGGATTTGTTAGATGTGTAAACATCATAGATGTTTTAATGATATAATGATGATGTAAATCAGTTTTTATTTATCCAAGTTCTTAAATTAGTGCAGTTTTTGTTTCTTTTAGTCTGTAGGTTGTGATATCTTTTTGTAAAATCTACTACATACAGAAGTTATTTCAAATGTGAACCTACAACAAAGTCCACCATAAAAATACAACACAAAACAACAAAACTGCACTTTCTTAAAGTAAAGCTGCAACAATTAATGGCAACTATTTTGATAATCAATTAAATATTTTAGTGGTATTACAAGCAAAAATGCCGGTGCTTGTTCCAACTTCTCAAATGGTTGGATTTGACTCTTTTCTTCATATATGATAATTAGCTACACATTTTTAGATTTTGGGAAATTTTAATGGACATTTCTTATTATTTCTCAATATTTCATATTTTCTGACATTTTATTGACAAAACGATGAATGGATTTACATATGAACTTTTTGTTTCTGTAAAGTTATTGTCAGCTGTATCTTCATTTTAAAGTAAACTGATAATAACAAAGTAACTGTGTAAGATTACGCCCTTCATTTTCCTTCCTGATGTGCAGTTTATTTTGAGGAAGTAATATAAAGAACTTGTATCAAGTGTCTCTGATTATCATATTTAACCATATAAAGGACTCATGAGAAACTGTTACACTACTGACCAACAAACAAATTAAAAAAAACATCACAGTAACAAGAGAGAGAGACAGAAATCCAAAGTGAATACTCACAGAGGAAGAAGAAGCAGATCAAAGTGTGACGGACTTTCATGTTGAGGCTCTGATGGTTTACTGCTGACTCTCTGACTTCTTCACTGACAAACCAGGAACTTCTAACTTCTTTAAATGATGTAGTCCCTCCTCCAAACACAACACAACACACACACACACACACACACACACTACTGCAGGGTCTGAGGTTATCTGCACATTTATGTAGGCTACGTAGTAACACGTCATTAAAAGTTATTGTTAGTGAATTCATTGACACAGAGATGAACCCCTATGGTCTTCAGTATGTCTATACCGTCCAAAATTATACATTTTATTGATCCTTTCTGTTCATTATTGAGTCCAGAATGTCTTGTTTTCTTAGCCTCTGTCTCATCCATTATCCCGTACCACACAAAGGCCACACTGTTAAAAAAAAAAAAAAGTGAAAAAATAAGCTGTCAAGCTTTTTGGATGTAAGGAACAGCAAGCTAGTGTAGATCATCTGCCTTTTGCTTATTGCTCACACTAAATGGAAGAGCCGGTGACCATACCAATTATTAAGGGAAACTTACTTAATGTCTTGCTGACCTTGGATAGATATACTGTTGATTTTGTTTTCCGTTGTTTGTGTTTTTCAATTGAGCCAAGAACCCAAGTGGTTTCTTTAGGTCATCCAGAGGTGTTGTTGTGGAAAGTCAGTCGAATCTGAAAATGTACTTTTGGCTTGCATACCAAAAACTTATGGATTCATTTGTACTGCCAAGACAAACTTCACATTCGCACTTGTCTTTCTACTTGCATATATTTGCATCTTTTTTGTATACCAACTTAATGTAGAAATTTTGGACTTCCCCAACTCCTGTGTACACAGTTGTGCACTGCCTTGCAAGGCCAAGTGGACCTAATTCAGCAATCAGCTGTAGCACTCCTGGGGCAGAACCAGAGGACAGAAAAGGAACAAGGATGCACAGCACAGAGAAACACATACTGGCTTTAGAAAGTCATAAAATATCATATTGAAACCAGGGAAGAAGTCTTTGGATTGTGCATTAAAACCACCAGTTCCCCCTCTCCTTTGCCTTTCATGTCTCTGTACAGTCGTATGAAAGCAAAATGCCAGCATTTTAAGAAATACTTTCCGATTACTTTACATTCAGATTGCACTTTAATGTTGGAGCTGTGTCTAACAGTATCCAAAATATTCTTTACGTTGAGCCAATTAGGTTTCTAATGAATAGATCTGAAAATGTCATCAACAAGGTATATAAAAACTAAACTACTTTTGTTTTAGGTTAACAATTTTTTACAATGAAATGGTTGACTTGTGTGGCTTGTTTGTTGTGAGCATGACACTGAATAAATGGTCTATAAATAGTATCAGATGTGGGAATTTGTATTGTAGTGTTATTTTAAAAGGTCTGCGGGGACGTGATGGCACAATGGATAAGACACATGCCTTTGGTGTGAGAGACCCGGGTTCAATCCCACACTGTAACACATCCACGTGCGACCTCAATTGTAAGTCTCTTTAGATAAAAGCATCAGCTAAATGAATAAATGTCTGAGTTTGCTCAAATTAAGTAAATTTAAGGAAGTCTGAAACTGTCATAAATAACCCTAGTACAAGATTACTCGACATGGGTTTCTGGTCTGTATTATAGGATATATATATATATATATGTAAAATAATGTAATGATGTGGTAATTTTTAATTATGAAAAAACAGGATTTAAATATGTTTACTTTAGGTTTTGATAATACACCTATAGCTAAGACTCTTCAACTCAAGTATCTGTAAAATGGCATTAAAATTAATTTTTCATCACAAACCTGTAATTTTACAGGAAGTTTTCTTTTTTAACCCCATTACAAGGTGTGAACACCTGTCATTTAACAATAAATAAAATATCACCTTTGTGTGATTTTACCACTTTGGGGCAATTATATATTATGTTAATCTAACTTGTAATCTAAGAATTATAATAAAAGTCAAAAGCTGTGAAATTACAGTAATTATGGCTGTTTTCAATGATCAAAACTGCATTTCGACAGTTTAACAAAACTTGTAGACACTATATACTGATTAAAATAACATTTATTCAATGTTTTTATTTTCCAATAGACACAATCTATGTCAAGTTACAGAACAAATGTTTTTTGTTACGGTTAACTGTTACTAATTGCACCAAGTTTAAGGAATGTTTTTACAGTATTAAACTTACTTTTAACAGTTTTTTCTTTTAAATAAAAATAATAATTCTGAAAATACGGGAAATTCCTAAATGTATTGTAACATCAAAAAACCCCATATTTTCTTTAAAATAACAGAAATTCTATGGTTAATCATAGCTACAGGTTTTTCATGTTAGTTTACATTAGACATGTAAATTCATAGTTTAGTTTTGCAATTTTTTGACATTTTCATGTATTTCAAATAAAAAGGAATAAAACTTTAAATTACAGATTTTTTACAGTGTAGCTTTAAATATGCAGACATTTTCAGTGCAATTTGTTTTTACAAAGCCCTTCAGGTCACAAGCTCATCACAGTGGTTATAACTCCAAATCCGCACACTATGTAGTAGCTATTGTTCGACAGCAAGCCACAACTAAAACTTTGGCTGTCTTTCTCTCTTTATCCTTATCCGTTTTATTATGTGCTCACAAATTATCTTGCTCAACTGCAGATACTTGTAGTAAGGAAACTTTCAACACTGAATTCAGTGGCCTCCATGTTTAATTATGGTCGTGTGTGATATTTTTGTTATTGGTCTTTGGGTTGTAGCTAGCTTGTACTAAAGGTGTTAATTCACTTATGTTTTAGGGCATAGTTGAGTGAAAGTGTTGTACTGAGCATTATATAGGAGGTGTTTTTAATATTCTTTTGCATTTCCATGCAAAAAAACAACAAATTCAATTGGTTGTAACTGTTGGATCAGTCACAATTACACATTTTTCAAAATTGCTCAACAGTATAATTACTTACAGTGGGTTTATTTCAGCAAGACTGTCTTGGGAGTGACCAAAAAGCAGACTTGAATGAAGTATGACACCAGTGGCACGTAGTCATTGAGATCCTCTGGTTTCACCAACAGATATGTAGTAGGACTTTTCCTCACAAGATGGTAACTCTGTAGATGCTCCACATAGTACGATGTAAAAGGTTCAATAATGAAGCAAACATGACTAGCCAACACAATGCATATTTCCAAAGTCCGGTAGTCCGCTCGTGCTCCCTGCAAGAAAGAAGATAGCACATGGATTCCCCCAATGCCTGTAGGTGCATATTCGATATGAACCTAGGAACCTTTTGCAAGTCCTGGTTTCGCGTTTATGCCTGTTGTCGCAAATTTGCATCATACCTACACATACCTGAATTTATATCTTTTTATTTTCTATAAAAAAAATTAACAATCTTCACTTAATTTAACATCAGCTTGAAAGCAAATGAACACACAATTTCTTTTTTATTGTAAAGAAATTCAGGCATTAAGGGGTTAACATGTCTTTCATGTTGATTACATTATGTGGTTGTGTGAGCTCAGAGACAGTCTGTTTCATGCTTGCTGAGATTTGTTCCAGAGAGCCACACTGTCAAACTGTATTGTTGTAAGTGGTTAAAACGTTGACCCAAGTGTCATGACTGAAATATCATTTACTGAGAAATGGGAAGTGGCATTACTGTACTGTAAGTGTTTCCTGTTGCCTAAACGGGGATTGTCTGCATGTTGCCCGGTTGACGCTATCTTCACCCTCTTTTTGTTGCAATGGGGAACAGAAAGCTCATATATGTCGTTTTGGGAGTCATTAAAAAACAATCATTAGGTTGTTTTGGAGACATCATGGACCTATTCTGTCATTTCTATATGAGGACGCGTTGGATCAGTCTGAGAGCTTAAACTCTGTGTGGTTGTTGATGTGGAGGCTGATGGGACTGATGTTGGAAAAAGCCAGTAGAGACGAGCTGTGAAGAATAAAAACATGCAGTTACAAATCCCGATGAGAGGGATGAATGTAAAGTCTGTGTCTATGTGTCAGCCAAGGTTAACGAATACGTATCTAACTAACTGAAACTACTTAAATCAAAGAGTAAATGTCCTTTAGTTTTCATTTATTTATTTATTTCATAGGACCTAAGTAAGCTTACATTTCGAGTGGATATGAAGCCGGTTGAACTGACGCTACTGGGCGGTTGCTCTTGCTGGACCGGCACTTCAGAAGCGCGCTCGGTGACTGCCACGATTGCTTTATACGTCAACAGAGCCCGGGGTCAGGGCGGCGTCTGGCCGCAGCATAGCAGGTGGTGACCGCTGTCTGCAGCGTCTCGTCCTGTCGTGTTAGCTTTGCAGCAGCAAGTAGCATCAGTTTGCTAACCCACAACCTAGAAACATTAGTGGCATTACTTATATCCCGAGTTACAGTTGGAAATGCCATATTTCACTGAAATATCTGGGATATATATTGTTATTGGGATATGAAATTACTTACACATCAGGATAAGAATTTTTTGTCACACTCACAGCCCCACCAGTATCCATGGACAGCATGTAGCATTGAGTTGTAGGCTTTCTTGTAGTCAATCCAAGTGGTGCACAGGTTAGTCAGTCTGGTCTTGCAGTTTCGAATGACTGCTCTAGTGACCAGAAACTGGTGCTTGGCTCTCTCTCTTTTTCTGTAACTCTCTTACTTCAACTAACTTTGTAAGTGGTAATGCACATGCCAATAATGATGTGAAGCTGCTACTTTACCTGCACTGTACTGATATGTTTGTAATAACCGCACATTATGTACTAGATTGATGATAATGTTTGACATAAAACTGCTCTCTGATGGCACTGCTACTTTTTCAGTCAGAACTCCGCACACATACATGCACCTACGCTCATTCTCACATCTAGAGACATCTAAGACTGGCGTTTTGTGCAGTGATTAAAAGTGTGTCAACCACAGCACAGGTAATCAAAGAGGAAACCTCAGCCTTTTAGTTAAGTTAAAAGCCAGTTCAACTATGTCGCTTACTGATCTGACCATTTGTCTTTAAATTTGAACTGGACAAGGGTGTGGAAATTCAAAGAATTTCTTTCTGCTTCCTTAAAAAG